GTTTTTGTTTATTGGTTTTTCCACTCGGGGCCTTAAGCGTCTCCACTTCCCTCCGCCTCCTTTGCGGGAATGTGTGTGTGTTGTCTGCGAGGCGCTTGACGTTGTCGGCTCTGGCGGTCAAGTTTGAGTCTCGGTTTTAATGGCCGGAGATGTCGGGCCGCACAGTGAGATGCAGTGACCACAGCCGTGCTTCAGGCAGGCGACAGCTGCGGCGCAAGGGAATTCGTTGGCCCCTTAAGACTTCAGAAAGCGACTATTTACAGAGACACGAATCCCCGTTACCGATAAACTAATATTTTTAGCTAATTTATAGGGAATAACCGTTACCAATTCCAATGTAGATGTTGCAGAACTTAAACATACACAGAAACTGTTGTCTAATAACATCCGTGTTTGTTATAAAATTTTACTAATTTTAGCTAATTTATTATGTTTCGAAATCAAAGTCTTTTGTATGATGTATGTACTTTACTTTATTTTAAGTAACGCAATTCCTTAATTAAAATTTCTGAATAAACCCCTTCGTTGCCTGCTTCGTCTGCCAATAATATATGCTTTTGGGCGATTTTTTTTTAATATTCCGTCGAATATGAAATGACAACAGTGAAAATAAAGGGAGAAAGGGAAACGGGAGAAGGCAGAATGCTGCCCGGCACACTTCTCCGCTCGTTAATCAATTAAGGCATTTGTGAATTTGCATAAACATTTTCGCCGGCGCTTCTGCCATCATTTTTGCACTTGCCAGCCTCGGTTTGTTTACATGGAAGCGTTCCGCCCCCTACCCCATCCGTTTGTTTTCTTCGTAAATTTGCAAATGCGGCGAAGAAAAATTGATTAAAACATCACGTAATCGCATTCGCAATGCCGGCGTCGTCATCGACTTCGGACTGGGACTTGGAACTTGGGCCACGAGCGGCGCCAACGTCAACTTGACATGGCATCCACAGGCGAGATATCTCCGGAGTGCGGACCCCGTCGGAGCACCGCACGTACGCATGTGGTCGCGTATGAATATGAATTCAAATCGATTCAATTGATTCGAATTCTGCGAACGCAGTGAGTCATCTGGCAGGCTATTCGAATCGGGGCAATTATCCATTACTTATAGCCAAGTCTATTACGAGCCGCAGATTTTAATGACAAATTGCACATCGATGAGGTGGATGTGGACCAAGTGACTCACTGTGAGGCACCGAACCTGACATCTTATCAACGCTGCCATAAATAAGCCAAAGGGACATCCAACGAATGCCATCTGGCAGTTGGGGATTCCGTGTCCCGACAGAGACACCGTAATTCTTTGTTGCAGTCTTCATAAATTTCGTTTTTACACGCGGCACACTGTGTGCCCTTGGTTTTGGGCCATTCCAGCCGCGACCCCAGCCCCCCGTCTTCTTAATAACATGTTTGTGTGCTGGATTAAATATAAATTATATTTTTGCGCTGTCCGTGCGAGCGAATCTTCCCCGGAGAGAACAGAAGGAACGAGTTCGCCTTGCGAAATTAATACAGTTTTATTCCAATGAATTTTTGGGCGCGATCCCGCTGGAGAAGGAGCTGCTTCATGGGAGAAGAAATGAAGCTCGCCAGCCTCCCACGCGGGTCTCGATAGATTTCCATAACCAGAGGGCATGTGGATCTGGGCCAGAGTGCTTAATGGACAGTAAGTAAAGAGGGACAGCTCGAATCAAGTCAAATCATATTTTTCCCGAGCGGTACTTGAGCATTTTAATTAGTCGTCTGTCTCCTCGAGGGGCAGAGTAATTGGCTCGATTGGGGAACTTTTGATTGGATCTGATTGCCGGGCAACTGCTCTAGTAAATAAGCCCATCCAGAGCAGAGTTCTGTGTGTCGTTTGGATCAATCAATCATGACATTTGGGTTAGCGTGAGCTCTGGCCCAGAAATATGCCACACATAAATCAACCGAGGAGCGGCAAAAAGGTTGTCCATAAAATATATGGCAAGGCCCGAATTAATTTGCAATGAAAATGTGCGAAAAGATGCAAAGTGCTGGGATTTGGTGTAAAAAATTGACCAAAGCATAAGTTTAACTGGGCGGCTACGAAATATGTATTCAAATAAATAAAAAGAGCAAATGCACGAAAATAAAATCCAGGACGAGGGCCGTGCATGTGTGCGACTCCTCCATGTGATACAAATGTGAGGTTGTTTGTCCTGCCCGGCCTCAGACGATGACAGGAAACTGTATGAAATTGCTTTGCTAGCAGGCAGGCAAAGGGCGGGGAGCGACGGCTGGGCTGAACTTGAAAGCTAGCAGCCGATCAATATTTCATGCAAAGTTTGAAAAAATCTCTCTCGAGCATGTTTATGAAAATGCAACCGGAAATCGAATGCCTGTCAGGGCAAATATTGCTTTAAGCTGAGCTGGGAGTCCCGAGATAAAGGAGGAAGCCGGCAAAAGTGGTGTCTAGTAGCTTACTCGCTCCTCCGTGAATTATGCAAATAAGTCAACACTAGGCGAGAGGATGTGAGTGTGTCTGCTGCAAAAGTTTCCCCAACGGACCTCAAATGAATCATATGCCAAAAGGCATTTGAAGGCCTCAAGCTTTGTAATGGGCCCTTTGGGTCCTCCTCCTGACAGTCGCCCTGCTGCTGATGCGTAACATGGCGTATGCGTAACGTGGCATTAGACTCCCGTAAATGCATATTGGGACGGAGAAAGTTTTGTGCTCTGGTCTGAGTCCTGTCAATTTCAGTTGCCATCTTCGACTCCGTCTTGCCGGATGATTTTGCGAGATTTTCCCAAGTATGGCATTTGTCTTGCCTGCACTTTGATGTGATTAAAGAACCAAGTGCTGTGTTGTCCCGTAACAGCGCTTAAAAGTCCTCTTTTGGGGACTTCATGTGGAGAGTCACCTGCACGGCTACGGACTGGGATAGAAACTTGTTTGAATCCTGGGAAGACTTAATCTATGCGTGGCTCTAACTAATCCCAGGCCACAGGCCGACTTACAGGGTTTAATTAACGACGAAGGCGTGCTGCGAAGGGGCGGACTAAACTTAACCGGAACACAACTTGAGCGCATAAATTACAGCCCGAGCTTGGACTTAGGAATGCTAATGACGCCCTCCGGCTGTCCCTTCTCCATGCGTTTCCCGGACCGGCTAATAATGCCCTGCATATAATCAAGCCCATGCATGACTATTCCCGGCTCCGGCTCCGTCTCCTTGGGAGGCTCACGGTGCTAATCCAACAACTTGACTGCCATTACCCCCGGATCCGGCTGGGTGGCCGTAGCCGGAGTCAGCGTAGGAGGAAAAAAACGTTCATTTGCTCAATCGTGCACTCGAAAATGTCAATTTACATTTGCGGACTGGCTGCTGGCAGCGGATTCTCCCAGTGGGCGAATCGGAATCTGAGTCCAACCAGCTTAAGTTGACTTTAACGCCCCAATGCATCCAACTAGAAGAGCCATCTGAAGGCGGGCTGAAAAGCGAAGGCAACGAGGCAGTTCACATAGGAGAGAGTTTGTATGCGTGTGTGTGTGAGCAACGGGAAAAAGGAAAACTTTTTATTAAAGTCAGCAGAAATGACTGGAGCCCGCTTCAGCTTCGGATTTCCATGCTCACCGAAACTAGCCCCAGTCCTCCTCCGAATACAGAATACGGAATACGGAATACCTCCATGCCCCGTGTGGGCGTGGCGCCGGCTCTGTCTGTTGCTTTGGTCAAGTTAATTTGTATGTGTGGCCGTAAACTTTGGCCAGCTTAGACTTTCCAGCACGCCTCGCTGGTCAGTGGGCGTCCTGGTCCCAGATGGATGGATGGGTGCACCCAAAAAAATAAAGAGTATATTTTAAGAAACAACTTGTTTTAATGTAAGAAGTTAAACATATAGTTTCAGACAAAGGCAACTCAATTACATAAAAAAAATTTATAAATATTTAGACATAATTGAAACTATTCCAAGTTGGAATTCTGTTATGTGGGGGGATATTTATATAATCCGGGATAACGGATCTATATGCTATCCAGAATATGAACCTTATAAATATAAATATAATAAAATGGAAAAAAGTTGTCAAGGAACGATGGAAGAAAGCCACCACCTTCATCTACTTTCTACTCAACCCAATGCCTGACGATAAGTTGATCTCTAAATCAAGTAAAATTCAACATAATTTTAAATTCTGTTTTTTCAATTTTTAAAGGGATTCGATTCGCTGAAATGTACAAGCTTTTTCTGAGTGTGGAGGGATGCTGCCGCAGCGGACAGCTGAATGGTTGGGTACCGGAGCGGGATTTCCCCTGATATCTCAAATGTCCAGTTCTGGACTCCGTTCACAATGTGTGAATTTTGTTGGCTTATTGCTTTTCTATGCCGCATAATTGCTGGCTTCTTTCACACATTCACACACATCATTGGACCGACCGGTCCGGTCTGAGCCTTACTGGCCAGGATGAGGGTGGGGGCGGCAGAATGGGATGTGTTTGCGACGTTTTGTCCTTGAGCAGGGGGCATAAATCATTGGGGACTGCGGCCCAGCTCGAAATTTATGCTCGGTTGCATTTTTGATCCTCTGTGGTGGTCAGGAGGAACTCGGTCCCTCCGGCTCTGACTCTTTAAATGTTTGTGGCCCAGTGTGCGGGAGAGATAAGAGCAGGAGCAAGCAAATATAAGGAAGCGCTTCCGGCAGAGCGTTTTTCAATTCAAGGCTGTCGGATGCTCAGCCCGCTATCTCTATTTTGGCAACCCCTCCCCTACCCACTCCGTCCATCCGTAGTTGGGGCCATAGTTACCCAAAGTGTTTTTTAAATAGTTTCGCACTTCGTTTGGGGCTGGGCCTAGCAACTCGACGCGCCACCAAGGCTACCGGTGCTTGTTATGCAAACACACTGGAAGAGTCGCCCAGCAACGCCGAGTGGTGTCGCTTTCTCGATGGCTCCACGCAGCTACGAGCCACTCCGAGAAGATAGTTCTCCTTGTCTGTTCCCGCGATTGTCGCACACCTCATTACCCCGATCACTGTACCAAGGATGCCCTGCTTCTCCGCCTCCAATGTGCGGTTCGTCAGCGCCGAGTCGCAAATGCAGCAGAAGTGCCAGGAGCTAAGGGCTCGGGCTCGGGCACAGACTGCTGCCTACCGCCCACCGGCCGGAGGCTTCCGGCCCTTCACCTCCACTTCCACCCCAATGGGGATGGGCTACGTCTCCTTCAGGACACCGGCCTGCGACCAGTCGGCGGCCTACGACCAGAAACAGCTCAAACGCAACGAGCGGGAGCGAAAGCGCAACCAGGGAACCAAGCATGCGGTGCTCCGCGCCGGTGAGCTGCGGCGCCTGAAGGAGCAGGGCAAGATAGCGACCGTGAGCGAGAAGCTGCAGGAAATCGAGCGGCAAGAGGAAGAGCACCGCAAGCAGTTACAGATGGTGGAGGAGACGCGGAGGCACTTTAGGGCCATTGACGAGTCGAGAGGAAACGGCGAGGAAGTTGGGGAGGGCAAGACCAGCTTGCTCAAGGAGATTCTGGAGGAGAAGGACTCGGTTTTGAGCCGCGCCTTCTTGGCTCGCCAGGAGCAGGAGGAGGAGGTAAAGCAGATCAATCGCATGATTCTCGATGCCAAGTGCAAGGCGGTGCGGGAGGCGCAGATCCAGGAGAAGCACCTCCTGTCCAAGGCTCTGCGCGAGGACGATGAACGGCTGGCGCGCATGGTAAACGAGCGGGCGCAGAAAGCTCTGTCCGCCGAGGACGAGCGCGAGCGCCAAGAGGTCGAGAAGCGGAACCGGTACGCCCAGGAGATACGACAGCAGCTGAGCGAGCGGGAAAACCTGCGCTACCTGGAGGCTAAGCGGGTGGCCGACGAGGCCAAGGACATTCGCCAGGCTACTGAGCTGCTGCGCGAGCAGGAGGAGCAGCAGCGCTCCTTCGCACAAATGCGCAAGCAGCGCTTCCGCGAGGAGCTGCAGCGCATCAGGGACATGTCCAACGTATTCAAGACCATGCTGAGCGAGCAGGAGCGGCTGGCTGACCTGCGGGTGATGGCCTACATGCGCGAGAAGCAGGAGAAGGAGCGCCAGTTAAAGGAGCTGCAGCGTCTGGCCAAGAAGGAATTTGAGCGCCGTCAGCAACGCATCTTTACGGTGGCCGCAGAGGCCATTGAGACCCGCCAGACTAACGAGGAGCTCAAGTATCTGAAGGAACGTGACCGCGTCGAGCGCGAGTACCGCCAGCGGGAAAAGGAGGCGGTCATCGCGCGGCAGGAGACAGAGCGGGACCTTCTCGAGTCGCGTGCCCAGCAGGCCAAGGAGATGAAGCACCGCCTGGCCCTGGAGATCGCCCACGCCGGCGAGGAGTTCGCCAAGGTCATGGACCGCATGCGAGAGGAGGAGGACAAGCAGAAGGCGCTGGATCGGCAACGCGACGCCCAGCGACAGCTGTACCGCAAGGACTTGAGGCAGCAGATGACCGACAAGCAGGCGGAGCGCCGCCGCTTGGCCGACCAGGAGGCCGGGCGTGTCCAGAAGTGGCTCGACCAGGAGAAGCAGCGCGATGCGAACATCCAACAGGTGATCAGCGCCAAGATCGCTGCCATGCGGGAGAACTGCCTGCCCGAGAAGTACCTGCGGGAGGTGGAGAAGCAGCTGAAGAGCATACAGGGCACCCGCAACCGAATTCGCTAGACTAATCACCTTGTGGTTGCATAGGTCCAGGCTGCTGAGAATGATGGTAATTGGGTCCCATCTTGCCCCCGAAAGTATGTCTGCTAAGCTGAAAAGATAGTTAACTAAGCAACGTAAGTTGGGAAAAATAATCAATATAGGGACCAACAAACTGTTCCAATTCGTGCTTTGCTGGATTTTTTCTTTAGATTTATGCTTTGTTTCAAATATATTTACGGCCTACCGAGTAATATTTGTCGAGAAAATGATGTGTCTTAGCCATTGGGTTTACTATTACAATGTTAAGCTTCCCCCCCTTACTTTTGAGTGCACTGTATCCGATATAAGCATAGACTAAAGTTAATATTCAATAAATATCCTTTGAATGGATTTCTAGACTTCTTCATTGACCACTATCTTTATTTTTTACGGCTTTCGGTTGTCGTCCCTCAAGGTTCGGAGCTGATCCACCGCCATTCCCTCGGCAGCCTAAAAGTATGCCATAAAATTGCCAACTAAAAGTAACTGGCAAGCGAAATCAAAGAACCTCCATGATGACGATGCGACATTGTTGCGCGTGTGGCTGAAATGCCCGCCCACGCGTCACGCTAATTTCCAACTATGTGGGCGTTTAGGCCACCTATCCCGCCTTTAGTTCTTTCCCCGCTTATCCCGTTTCGCCAGCGGGTGGCAGCCGCCCAAAGGCAACGCATACCGCAAACAATTACTTGGGGGATGGAAGACTGGAGACGGGGAACGGGAAAACTACGGCCTCAGTGCCATGGAAAAGGTGGTAGCCAACTTTTGGCTACAATAAAATTTTATTATGCCGCACACACGCGCGCTGCACACACACACACAGGCAAACAATGGAGCTGACGAAGATGAAGCTGAAGATGCCACCGACAACGACAACGGCAACGACGAACTCTTGTGCATGGTTCAATTATCGTATTTCATGATTCGTTAAATTTTCGCATACGCCAAAAAAATACGAAAGACAAGCCCCACACCTCCTACCTCCCACCGCCTGCCGCCACCCACCAGGTTGCGGGCAAAGAAAAGCCAAGGCAAGGAACAGGTTTTCCCCTGGCAACCATTGTGATGTCTACCTTTACTGGGACCCGTGTTTCGGAGATGGACGGACTCGGGTTGGGGATGGCCTAGCATGCACAGAACAAAAATCTAGCTAAAACAGATTTCTGGTATTTTTGAAAAGTAAATAAGACGTTACTTTAGGCATTCCAATTTAAATATTAGGATCATAATATAGATGACCAATTTATTTGAATACAATTTAATTTTAAAGGTGTTTCGATTAAAGTTGTTAGAGGTTTTTTTAAATCATTAAATATATACGTGTTTATTACGCAAATAAAAAGGAAACCATTTTGTATGTAATCCCCTATTATATTTTTATTGAGCAATATATACATAGTTGTGCAGAAATCATATATAGTAATGCCATGAATGTTTACAAACTTGAACAAATTTACTGAAATATTAATTTTTAATCTCTATTAATCACATTTTGCTTAATAAATTAATTCACGAAATATTATCTTAGCAACGTTTTTCGCTCCGTGTGCGCCTGGGATTGCCTGCCACTCGCATATGGCTGTAATAATTCCAATGACAATAAACGTTGTCGTATTTACAAGTACCGGCACACACACTGCGACGTGAATTGATGAGAAAAGTTTTTGAGGAAATGTCAATAGCGGAGCGGAGACAAACTATGCTCCGATGTGCTAGGGAGTCTGCGCGCACAGTGGAGCGAACCAACCTAAGCGCAGAGCCGGAACGATCCAGCATTTCTGACTGCTCTGCAACACCAGTGGGCCCACTGTGTCTGCTGCGGCATCTTTGGCATTTATAAATATCGTGCTGGAGAAAAGGTAAGACGGCAAAAATATCGATATTGTAATTGGAGGAAAGTAAGACGCAGCTGCCTCAGCATGCACTGCATTCCCCCGCCTTTCTGTGCCCCGTGCCGCCCTATTCCACTCCGTACCCCCCTCAAGATGTATCTGCAAGATTGCACACAATTGTTTTGTATTAGCAAAGTGATTTCTTGCCTCGTTCTGGCTTCCTTGTGCGCTACCTCCGATATGTGTGCTTAAAAATAAATTGCGCGGCTTTAGTTTTGCGTTTACTTCAATGGCTTTCTTTTGTAGTTGCGGTAGGGTTTATCTGCCGCAGAGGCACTCCGCCTTCTCGGGTTCCCTTTGTTGTGCTGGAAGGTATGTTATGTGGTTCAAAGAGGGGCCAGGCAGGGCAGATGCGCAGAGTGCCTTCGGTATCTGTATCCGCCAAGAATCCCTCGCATATCTAGGTGACTGGGTAATGGGCCTCAATTGCGCCTCGAATTTAAGACATCAATCGTGCCCCTATTCGCATACCAATGCGCTGTGTGGGCGGCAGAATCGAAATTGAAAATCAATATAAATGAGGAAGCCGCTTGATTGGACCGCCGCGCGTCGGGGAGGTGTCGCCGCAAAATGGATTTGTGGAGGTCACTGGCAGGAAGCCGCGCATTGAGCGGCAGATTGAGCGCAAAAATGCTGCACTATAAATAGACGAAATTCGGTTTAATTGAACAAGGTCGATCAATAAGGCTGTAGCTACAGATGGAGGCATGATTGATGGCCTGCCAACTGTCTCTCTGCCATCCGAGGAACCCTTTTTACGTTCTAATCCCGCCGATAAGGGGCAGCACGCCCTGCCAACTCACCTGCCTAAATAGGCGCCAAGTAGTAATTCCCAGGGAGATGAAGACCAAGAAGCCGACACCCGACGAACCATGCGAATCTTGGGCGTGACCGCGCGAGGGAACAATTTCTGCGATTAGGAAATACATTGCTCCGATTAGATACGGGACACGCTTGAGACCTGTACAATTAGTCGGCCCCAAGTCTTTTTACTTCGCATTCTGCTAGCCGGAATGTGTTCGAGTGGAATTATGGCCACAATTACATATTTATTTATCTATCTATCAGATAGGCAGTGTTATCTGGCCTTTGTTTACGGACAATCCACGCCAGAAGTCGCCACCAGACCCTGCCTCGATAATGGGGCTTCCTGGAATTGTGGGCGTGATCCGACTGGAATGTCGGGAACCGAAACTTAAAAAATTCCAACTCGTAAATCACTTGGGCAATAAATATTTAATCAGCCTGCAGAGCAAACACTTAGATTAAGCCAAACATAATTAACATAAAGCAAGTAATAATAATAAACTCGACTCAATTGATTTGTTCATAAATCTCGCGCCTCGCTCTCATCCTCGCATGCGAGCGCTAGCCGGGACCGTAAGCTCCCCCTCATTATTTATATGGCATTATCGGCCAGAAAGCTGTGCAGTCGAGCAGCCGGCGTCGCTGCCAAGAGATTGTCGCAGCTGATTGGGAGCGCTGCGAGCTCCACGTTGGCGGGCTGCCCACTTCAAAAGCGGCAGCGGCGGCGACGTGACTGCGGCATTGTTTACAAACAAACTGCAGTTGGAGTCGGAGCCTGCGCCAGGCGGGATGGCGGGTGGTGGGGTGTGGAGTACCAGTAGCCAGCGGAAAGACACAGTGGCTCAATCCGTCTCTGAAATTGCCTCCGAAAAGCGAACTCCCAACTTGGGCTGGTCCCACTGTGCGTTGCACAATTGATCGCCGCACGCCGCTCGCCTCGGATTTCGTAAATCGCTGGCGGTGGAGGTGGAGGAGGAGCAGGGGTGGACAGTGGCATATCAGGTAGAGAGTGCGCCGCGCGCTTATCACATATTTCTGTTTGCGTCGATTTCTAAATGGAAAAATAGTCGAAATAGCAGCCGCCGTCCGATAAGTCCCTGATTAGTCCCTCCTGCCCGCGCCTTTCAGCTTTGTGGCTCCACAGCTGTCTTAGACGACATGGGCCAGGTCTTTGGGAGGCGGAGAGGGGCGTGTTGCAGGCTCCTTGTAGAAGTCGTCGTCATCGTCCTCATTGTGGGAGTCATGGGAATCTTCAGAGTCGTGGGAGTCCTCGGAGACCCGCGAATCCTCCTCCTCAGAATCGTGTATGTCATCCAGCGGGGTGGTGGTGGTCATCGAGGCCGAGGCGGTGGTTGCCAGGAAGTGCACCTTGGCGGAGCCTGCGGAGTTGTTGTTCTCTGCCATTAGCTGGTGATGGTGGTGCATGTGTTGGCAGGCTGTGTAGCCTAGCGGGGGCGGGCATCTGGAGGAGCCTCGAGGTCGGTGGCGCAGCAGATCTCCCACATAGACTGCGGTAAGGGTGGCGTAGGTGGCGCCCAGGATGGCCCCAGCCAGGACGTCGGACCAGTGGTGCCAGTAGTCGGCAACGCGACTTAGCGACACACATAGGGCGGCCATCAGGAGCAGGAATTGCAGGACGTGCCGCAGCACCCGCACGCCGCCTCGCCCCCGCCACACGCCGTGGACGTAGAGAGCCAGGAGCAGCATCGAGTAGAAGCTCAGACTGCTGTGAGCGCTCGGGAAGCTCACGTGCAGCTCCCGGATCTGGCGCGCCGAGAGGTTGCGGTTGGTGCAGAGGAAGTGCTCCATGTAGAGGCCAGCGTTCTGGGGATCTGAGCAGCTGGTGCCATCGCTCAGGCTGGGCAAGCAGCCGTGGTAGAAGTGCGGCCTTAGGCGCCCCACCGCGTCCTTGGCCAGCTCCGTGGTCAGGTAGGTGGCAATGAAGCCGAAGCTGAAGGTGGCCTCTGCGCGCCACAGGTTGCGCAGGTAGAGCCTGGTGCGGAAGCGCTTGCAGATGCGCATCACCTCCACCACGGCCACAAAGAGCATCGGCAGCAGCAGCATCATCAGCAGCAGCATCGGCACCGTTATAGTGCAGTCCTTGTAGGGGTAGCGCAGACTCAGGTCCGCGCAGAAGAAGCCGCGCTTGAAGGTGTGCATTGTGGCTGTCCGCCTCCCGGCTTGCGATTCTGTTTGGGTTTCTATGTTTTTGTTATGACTGGACCTATTCCCACTCAAGTGGCGTTCTTATCGCGTGGGCCCAAGCCGATCGCTTGACACTTGGCACTAGCCGTTCCGACAGTACATTTGTCTCTGGTTCTGCGCGGATTAATCAAACTTCACGCCCAATCTCTGGGGCCATGTGCTCACTCACTGTATGCTGTGTGCTGTTTGCTATTTATTTTCGGCTGTCACACGAATTGCGCACTTTCGAAAAGACCGCGCACGACTTCCCAGGCCGGGTTCAAAGGCGATTTTCTTCGCGGGAAATTAGCGAATTGCGGGCAGCAGCCGTCACTCAGGGGGCCGTCAGTCTGCGCCGCCTTGCAGCCCATGAACCAATGGCAGCGGACTCAGCGAACCACGAACGAACCGCCTCGACCGCGCTCTGATCGGTGTCTATAAAGCGCTCTGGGTCGCGCTGACGTTTTCTTTGGGATCGGCGATGAATGTGACTAGCTCGCTGTGACTGCGACCGAGACTGGGACTGCGACTGAGAGCAACTGCGAGTGCGACGATCGCTGCCGAGCTGCCGGTAGCGACTGCCCGTCGACTTCGAGGCAGGCGCTTGCCTCTGGCCCGGTGGAGTGTCTACGGTCTCCAGCCTACGGTCTTCGGCCCGGAGAACCCACCGCGTCGAAGGTTCCCAGCGCTGTGTACATTTCGCATTGATATTGGATTTCAATGGTACTTGTACTCCTTATCACGACCGCTCTTCTCTCAGTTGGCCCGTACACTTGAAAACAAATTTCGTACATTGTCGACAGCAAAAAAAAACTATATTTAAATAAATTAAATTAAATATTCTAGCTTTATTTCAAAATTTCTTTGTATGTATATTTAAGAAGTTTTTTTTCTTCTATTTGGGCTTATAAGAACATTTTTTCGTATTTATATTTTAATGAAACTGAAAGGGTATGCAGTCGTCGACTTCGGTAATAAAGATTCCTTACTTGATTTTTATTCTAATTTTTTTTTTTTTTTGTGTCTTAAATTATTTTTTTCTTTTCTAGTATAGCAGTGATGGCTCGATACAACAAGCTTATAAAACCAAAAGTGGTAAAATAAAGCTAACTTCGGCGCGCCAGAAACCGTTCTAAAAGTTTATTTAGATAACTAAAAAACTGAGGACGAAACGAACGCTAAATCGACTCAGCTGTGGACGCTGATCAAGAATATCTATACTTTATAGGGTCGAAAATGACTCCTTCACTGCGTTGCAAATGTCTGACTAAAATTATAATACCTTGCAAGGGTATAAGATTATCCATTTAATTCCCCATAATACACATATTTTAGTTCCTGCACATTGCAAGGGTATAGAAACTCCGGCTTCTCGAAGTAAGCTTCCTCACTGGTTGTTAATAAGTTCTTTAATAATTTTCACAATTGTAAATCAAGTCCCTGGGGACCCAGAATAGTTTATTGAAAAAAAAAAATGGTTTTCTTTTTATAAGCGGCAAAACTTTTTTAAGTAAAAATGTTATCCAAAAGCGCAATTTAAGTTCGACACATTGCTTCGATATAATAACTCCTTGGGGATTTCAATTCCCTTAAAATAGTTTTAAATTTTAATGTAATGTTGTAATTGAGAAAATGAATGAGAAATCCCATCGGACTTGGTTCGATTTTTAATGTTCTGTAATCTGATGAAAGAAAAAAATGTAAAATGCCTAAAACGAACGATTCAACAAAGCACCTTTCCCAAGTTCAAAGTTAAGTAATCAAATTCTGAACTCTTGTTAGCAGCATAAAAGTGTTTGGCGAACATGATTGATTTCCGCATCGTTCGTATGCCAGTTATATGATAAGTTGTCCGAATTTCAAAAATGTAATATTTTAATAATACAAATTCTCAAATCTCAAAGTAGATGCAAATATGTTGAAAAAAAAACAGCCAAGCAATCCTTTTTGTTTTGTTCTAAAAATATTTAATCTGTCTTATGTCAGCCAAATCTATAGACGGACATGGCTAGATCGACCCGGCTGTTGATACTGTTTGCGTGGGGCAAATTATTTCGATTACAGGATTTAAAAAAAATTAATTTTAAATCTCAAAGTAATTTGAAGATCATTTGTTTACTATGGCAATGAAGTATATATTTTATGGCAATTTTTGTATAGTATATGTAAATGTCAAACAATAATCATAACCATGGTAAAAATAATACAATATGGAAGTAATATTTTATTAATTTCATATAATAATTTTGCAAGTTCCTAACTGTTCTTTAAAGTGGACCTCGTTCTGCGGACGCCATTGGCTGCGGCACGAATGTTGCTAATGAGGAAACTATTGAATTGTTTCAAGGTTTGCTCTGCTCAGTTTGTTTAGGTTTGTTTGCCAGCGACTTGGCATTTGCGCATAATGAAAGAGTTGCATTCGAGTCGCTCGAAATGCGGATGCCCAGGCAGATGGATGGGGATGTGGTGATGGGAGATGGAAGCGGAGTGGACCGCAGGAGTTCCTTCGGCTGCCTGCGGTGGCCATTGGAGTAGGTCATTCCAACGTGACTTAAGACGGTTGCTGCTCCGCTGCGTGCCTTTGTGGCATTTGCGTTGATGTAGGTCGTTGCTCGGGCCCCAGTGAGTAAGCGGAGCTCGAGGGGGCCCATGGAGAGGGTCGGTAATGGAGGCGAAGGCAAACACTGGCCGGACTCCGAATGCTGGAGCTGTGCTGGAACTGAGGCTGGATCCGGCCAGAGTGCATAAACTGCAGTCAGTTTATGGCCACTTCGTATTTGCACTACGAATCGGGCTCTTTATGGCAATTTTCAAGTGCTCAATTTACATCGGAATTGCTGGCTTGCAACTATTTGCTGTTAATTTATGCTAATTTTGGAGTCCCACTGAAAGGAAATTACTCCGCATTGGTCGGACAATGGACAATGTGTCCCAGGTTTATGCAAATGGCCAAGGCGAAGAGAGTTCCTTGCTGAGTGCATACAGAGCCGTCACCTTGGTTTGTTGGGGGGTTGCGGTATATTCAAGCTATTCTAAAATAAGAACTTTCATGATTTCATCATAAATATAAATAGTTTTAATGAATAATAATGAATAATAATAAGTAAGTAATAATAAAGTAACGTTAAGAACAGAAAAACTCATGTTGTTCCTACTATACGCATAACTTTCTTATCACGTAAATATTTTTAACAAACTTAATCAAGTTTAAATGTAACTTGTTAAACAGAAAAAGTAAATCAGCTGTATTCTAATGACACATACTATTTTAATTATAAATATTTATCGGTATCTGGTAAATTTAATTGGACTTTTGCCTTTTACAATTAGAATATGACATAAACATTTAAAAGTAAGCTCTTTCATAGTTCAAGTTCATAGTCAACGCGCAAGCACTTTTTACTAGAGGGTCACCGGATGTCATAATGGCAGAAAAGTAAGTGAAAAGTAAGAATTCCAGAATATTTACGGTAAGAATAAGCAAATAAATGTGTACATTATTTTTTTGAAACTACAACGAAAGTATAATATATAACAGGTGCTTATACACATGGTATGTACATATATTACATTACTTGCCTTTTAATAATCGATCTAAAAGTGATCTGGCACAACGGAGTGTTCATTTATGTCTAATGAACAAAAAACGAACTAATTTAAATCAGAACAATTGCGAAATGTAAAAGGAAATGTAATTTATGTACCGAGTGCTTAACCCTAGACGGTCATGCTTATTTTTCCTACGTTAAGGTTATGCTTCGTCGAATCGACGACGCCAATTTTAAAATAACTATAATTGTTAAAAAACAAACAATATTGTAAAAAAAAAATTGTACAGCTTTTAATTCATAATTATAACAGTTCAAAATTAGAAATAATAATTCATTCTCATTTTTCGATTATATGTGATTTTGCGTCGTCGAATCGACGAAGGATGGCCGTCTAGGGTTAAAAGCTTGTTTTTTTAAGTAAATTATTATTGTTATTGAATTCAGAAAGATATATGCAGCTGCTATACCTTTGATGCAGTTGAATACATATATTTTTTTATTAAACCGAAAGAGTAATTCATAATTTTAAAATGGCTAAAAAAATAAACATTTTCAAGTATCTATAATTTATTTCTACACAGAGAGAATTACAATTTGTTCAGATAATAAAAAATTTAATTTTCAAGATTTGTTCAGAATCTTATTTTTTACCTACCGAACGTTATACTTCCTTTGTGTAAAAAATCTATCAAGTTAATGTTTCTTTGGGTTTAAATTCGAATAGAGTTAGTTGTTCATCAAATTATAATGATAATTTAAAACCGTCAAATAAATAAACATAATCAAGTATCTATAATTCATTTCTCTTACATCGATAGTTAATTGGTCAACCTACACAGCGCAGTCTGGTTGCACTGCCCCAGTTATGCGCTTCGTCGAACTCAGCTCAGGTTCCCTGTAAGCTGGGCCAGGTGCGCCCCTTTTGCCAATGGCCCCCTGTGCCCAGCTGTATCAATGACCGACCGCAGCACGCGCCAAGAAACCAGTATTCGATGATGATCATGATTATCATCTTTGCACTGAGAAGCTGACTGGCGATCGTAAGGCTTCTGGTTTTATTAGCTAGTGGGATGTCCCCTCCAGTGACACCTTCGACTGGGGCGACCGTAAATCCAAATTTATTATTGGCATTATTTGTTAAATACGCAGATCCAGCGGGTGTTCGCAGATTACACAACCCTGCAAATAGTCTCAGGCCTCAGGCCCCTCACTATGAGGGGTAAACAAGAAAATCTGACTTGGCACATATTCAAAGTTGGCTCGGATTTTACGAACCTAAGAAGCACTTCCTGTGCTGTCCAAGAGTCAAACCGCTGACACAAACGATTTCGGAGCAGTGTAAATATAATAATTTTCTCTTGTGGATCGCACGTTTCCTGGCCGAGTCGCCAGTTGATGATAAGCCAAAGGTGCTGAAATCAGCCGAGCGAGGTGTGAGGAGGGATCGATGCCCAGCTGATACCGAGACGGACGCCACTGCGGCGTAGTAAGCTAATGAGGAACTACTCGCGATCCGATCCGCTGGAGTTTGCCAGCACCTCCTCTCATCCCGGGGACGCACTTGGCATTGGCGTTCCGCGATTAGCATGGAACACTGTTCGTTGTTTGCTGTGTGACAACAACCCGCTGTTGGCATACCCCGACGCCGCGAGTAATCGCGAATTCGATTTGCGGGGGACCTTAGGTATGCAGCTGCAGTCAGGTGTAAGGAGTGCGATTGCGACAGGAAGTAGACCTGGTTGGTAACTCGTTGGAGAGCAACAATTAGCTATCAGCTTTCTTCAAAGTCTACGAACCTATCCTATCCTAGATGCTCTGGGGACGGACCAATTTAGCTGAGATCAACCTGAATTGATTTTAATTCTGTGCACGTGCAGTGCACTCAGAGCGATCGAATCCCAGAAACCCATTTGCGGATAACACTTTCTGTGAATAATGAATGTGTAACGAACAGTAATTAGTCACGAGATATTCTTTTTATAGAAGCTGTTAAACCCTTTTGTAATTCTATATTTATAAACGATGTATTTTCATTCATCATCGAAGATGGGAAGTATGGTTTCTGTTTACGATTACATCGCCTTTGTAGAGGCATTGCCAAACTCTTCTCTTTTGAACATGAATGTACACATAAAGTGTTTACCTGTGATGGAATCAAATTATCATAATGACTAAATTAACACGCAAATATCGAAAAAAAATTGCTTTAAAATAAGCATTGAATTACGGCTTAAGTCTGGTGTTGATTTTACAAGCTAACGAGCCGCATCGCATCCCGCTTCTGACCCGCTCCAGCCCTGTCTGCCGGGCGTTTCAATTAGCAATCCCATAAAAATAAGCAGCGGAAAGAATCTCGACGCAAACCAGTTTCGCCGCGGCGTTATCACTGAAAAAGCTTTAAGCTCCGGCCGAAGTCACAAGCGTCACAGCGCGAGGAATGCACTCAGTAGCTACATACGTCACGGAGCGGGGATCGAGCAGGTGCGGAATCACCTGCCTTTGTTGAGGGCGCTATCAAAGCCTTCGGGTGAATCACTGGTCGAGAAATCCCTAAAAGTGAAAACCCCAGCGATGGACAACTCAGCAAGCCAGCTTCAGGCTTGAGTGGTGCCCATTGTGGTTTGCATCGACTGGGTTTTCCATCGCTTCTTGTCTCGGTTCCAGCCGCTGCTCACTAGGAAATTATGCACACGCATCCCAAAAGGAGCACAATCTGCAGCGAAGACTCTCTCCGCAGAAACCAGTTTCCATCGGCCCGCCTCTCCGCCTACGGAGCCTTATCCGAGTTGGACTTTGCCAGCATTTTCTCTTGGCTCATGAGCAATAAGTGAAACCAGTTTCTCAAAGTGTGCACAATGGGGTCTGCACTCCACCACTCTTTAACACTTGGCGGAGGTGGGTGTGGAGCTGCGCGATCCGTTTGTTTTCGCGCAGATTATGGATGAAATACGAGCACTGGGGGAGTTTGCATTTCTGGTACCTGCAGCGGGAGAATATCCGTCGCCGTTTCGCAACCCCCTGCGGCTTTATTGGCTTTTGTCTGCCAATTAGCCAGAGGTTTCTCGGACTGTAGGCGCAATGAGAGAATTCACTTGTTTGTAATTAATAAAATAAAAAAAGCAAACATCCAACAAATGTTTATGGCATGGGAGGCTCCGTCGTTGCCCGGCAACACCAGCAATAACAACTGTCTGCTGGGGAGCGGGTACTGGCGCTGCCGGGGGCGTGGCACGCACCGCCTGTGACTGACGGACCGCAGAGCGCTGCGAAGAAAGAGAACAGCTGGCTGGTCTGGGTGAGCTGGGCGAGCTGGGCGAGAGAGAGGAACTGAAATCACGGCCAGGTTGGGCGACTCACCAGCTTCGCTCGGTTAGTTAAGCGCGGCTTTTCAATCCGTCGAGTCGACTCGCTTGCCATTCGTTCAGCAGCCATCGCGGTGCGTGAATCCCGTGTATCATGTCCAAGTACACGAAGCTGGCCCGCGGGCTCTGCGACCTGCTCATCTGGGCGGCCCTCAGCGTGGCCAGTCTCCTGTTGCACAAGCTGGTGCGTCCGTTCCGGCGTGGCTTCTTCTGCGGCGACGAATCCCTGGGCTACCCGTACCGCGAGAGTACCATCGGCCACGAGCTGCTCATTGCCATTGCCCTCGGTGGACCCACCGCTGTGATCGCCGTAGTGGAGCTATTCAAGCAACTGCCCGGTGCGCCGCCGCGGGACTCGGGCGAAAAGCGCGATGGCTGCCGGATTGGACACCGCCTTGGCCAGCTGTATCGCCAGGCCATTTTCTACCTGTACGGCCTGGCAATGGTCACGTTCACCACGATGCTCTCGAAGCTGTGCATCGGACGTCTGCGGCCGCACTTCTACGCCGTGTGCCAGCCCATGCTGCCGGACGGGACTGGCTGCCAGGACGTCCAGAACCTGGGCCGATACATCGATAGCTTCACCTGCAGCAACGCCAACATGTCCGACTTCCAGTTCAAGCAGCTCAACCAGTCCTTCCCCAGCGGCCACGCCAGCATGGCCATGTATGCCATGCTGTACCTGGCCATCTACCTGCAGGCTGCGCTTAGCACACGCGTATCGAAGCTCCTGAAGCACCTGCTGCAGTTCCTCTTCGTCATGTTCGGCTGGTATGTCTCGCTGACGCGGATCACGGACTACTACCACCACTGGAGCGACGTGCTAGCTGGGGCGGTGATGGGCGTGGTGTTCGCCTGGCTCACTAGCGCCTACGTGGCGGACCTCTTCGCCGGCAGGCGCTGGGTCAAGGCCGGCTACTCGGCCAATACTCTGCGAAAGCCGCAGGTGTCACCAAAGAACTCTACGAAGTCGCAGGCGGGAGCAGCAGCGGTGGCCTCCGGCGGCGGCCAGCCACCACCTCTTCCGGCCTACACCTTCGGCACTCTGCCCTATCTGGCGGCGCATCCGGCCCAGGCGCAGGCGCAGTACGCCCAGACCTATCACAACTACGGCTACGTGCCATGAGGCTGGCTGGTGCTTAGCGAATCTGAACTGGGATAGCCTCACAATCACTCACGTTCAAACCCAGACTTGCACGAAATTCTTGTTCTGTTGTCGGTATTCTAGCAAAATAAATATTAATTACGATACGATGACGCGACTAATGACTTATCGAAAGCTGGCGGCGTAGAATGTGCTTCATCGGGGGCGATTATCAGATATTTTCGAAAGTTGCGGCATCCCATCTTCGAGCCCCATTAGTTGAGTAGCAGTAGCACCTTGCTTACCTGGAAAGAGAAAGACACAACTGTTAATTTTTGTTACAACGACTTTAGCACACTCCAAGGGTGTTACAACGGAGGCAAAAATAAATGACAAGGTATATGACTTTTCAATAAAAATAGATTGCAAAGATTTACAGTTACTCGTGCTATTCTCCGGAGGGACACAACAAGTTCATAGCGCGCAAAAAACCACCTCAACACCTGCCGGAGTGGGTCGAACCCCCCGCCCGATTAGTGGATTCCAGCTTTAGAAATTAGGAATAAATTATCGAGACCTTAGCATATTTGAGCTGTCTATAGACGAGAGAGACGAGAGCCACGGCCAGATCAGGGGAAAAGCAAAACAAAGGTTTGTGAAACAAGTTTGTGTGGCAGTAACCTCCAACAATACTGGGCCGATGGAGATGCAAATGAGCTCCGCTGCGAATGGGCCAGAAGAATCCAAGACCTTCCGTCCGCCCATTATTCAGTGTGAAAATGTGCGGCAATCCAAACACGCGTCTGCTCTCGCGGCTAGTCATCGACTTCCTCATCCTGCTGGGCATCTATGGCGTCGCCCTGGTGGTGCTGCCCCAGCAGCTGGCCACCGCTCAGCGGGGCTTCCACTGCAGCGACGCCAGCCTGCAGTACCCGTACCGCCAGCCCTGGCTGACCAAGGTTCACCTGACAATCGCTGTAGTGATCCTCCCCGCGGCCTTTGTTCTGGTGGTGGAGATGCTGCGCGCCGCCTTCGTGCCCAACTCGGCGGAGCTGAAGCAGCGCTTCGTCTTCGTGGGCGCCCGCATCCCGAGCTTCATCAGCGAGTGCTACAAGGCTGTCGGGGTGTATCTCTTTGGGCTGGGACTGACCTTGTTGGCCATCAGGCTGACCAAGCACACGACTGGCCGCTTGAGGCCCCACTTCTTGGACGTCTGCCAACCCACGTGGGGCGAGGAGGACGTTGAGAGCTGCTCATCCGTTTCGGGGGGAAACTCCACCGCCTATGTCGAGGAGTTTGGCTGCACGGAGTTTGCCGTCTCCTCAGAACTGCTGGCTGTAGTACGCCACTCCTTTCCCAGTGGCTTCGTGACCACAACCAGCTACGCCATGGGCTTCCTGATATTCTACGCCCAGGCCAGGCTCGTTGCACCCTGGCTACGACTCCTGCGTGCCACCCTTCAGCTGGCCTGTGGATCGTTAGCGCTAGTGGTTTGTTGGGAGCGCATCTCTACTTTCCAGAATCACATTACGGACGTGGCCGCAGGAGCCGTCCTTGGGGGGCTAGTGGCCCTCTTCGCGACTGTGTTTGTAGCCCACCTGTTTGCAGAGGTTCGGGTGAAGAGGCGACAGTGGCCTCGGAACGAGCAGATTTACGGGTACGCGGGATACTACAATCGAGCTACATATGGCTACTGAACGATATAGGGGATTACTTTTAAAATTAATAAAGTGCCTTTAAAATATACAGTTCATAGTTAATTTATTTAACTGCGTTTATGCATGGTTTTGACTGCTAGATTTAAAGAGGTCTTTGATGACGACTACAACTGAGGTTTTCGATATCAATTATATGATTGAAAATATTCAAAGTTCCTTTTGCGAGATTGATATGGAGAACAAAGGGGTTTGATTACAAAAAACTTGCAAGCATTGTTAGTAATATTGCTGAAAAAAGGTAATAAATAAATTAAATAATATATAAAAAAAAATTCGGTGGGTGTAATGGCAAAGATCGGGCAGGCATCACCTACTTTTATGAATAAAATTCTTAGTGCGTCAATAATATGTTTGTGTAAACAATTACAGCTATGCAAATATTTCCTATTTGGCACGCTGCAAAAAGACGTGTAAAAACTTAAATGTTATGTTGTGAGATAGAAGAAGTACATTTGTAACCATTTAGAGCACGTTTTTCTAGCCTTAGTCGTACCCGAACTGTCAAGCTTTTAGGGCTTATCCCGCGTAACTATCGTGGTTTTTGAATAGTGTTTAAATGACCGCTTTCTTGCTTAAACAATAAAGAAAACTAACAATAAACGAAAAGTAAGGGCCGCTTTGTTAATGTCAGGTTTATCTAAGTGACTGTGGATTGCTCAGATATTGTATATATTAAAGCGATATTTGGGGGCTACATTTACTACTATTTACCTTAAAGAGAAAAGTTAACCTGACATTAAAAAATCCAAAATGCCGGCTTTAATTTCTAAGAACTGGGGCTTGGCTGACAACTTCTTTGAATGATTAAGGGGATAGTATTAGTAAATATTTTACAGCTCACTTTTGGACACATTTCAAAACTGCCCGCTGCTAGCCAAGTTCAGAACCCAGCTGAGGCTAAGCGAGCCTCTGAACCCATGCTTGCGATCCACAAGTGGTTGCCATCGTCACTCGCTGATAAGAGCGCTGACCACTGCTCTCTCTCTCTCTCTCTGCCGCTTCTTCTCCGCTCGATCTCCTACCCTGATCTCTCACCGCAAGATCAGCTTCGATCTGTTTACCACGCCAGCGACGGACGCAGCCAGCCGTGGAAAGCGGGGGCTTTCGTCACTGCCTCAGTCGCGATCGGGAAGCGGCGCTTAAAGTTTGTGGATCGGGCTAGAACGGCTTGCGAAAAGCGTTAAATAAATAAACCCATAGTAAACAGCCAAGAGAACGCTTTATTTGTTTACACAGACGGAAAGCGAAAACGAGAGGCAGTAAAACTATAAACCGATCATAAAAGTTCAATTAAAAGTGAGTAAAGTGGCTCAGGAAGCCCATAATAAGGATTAAAGGAGTGATCCTGGGAAGCCTTTAACCGAACTTGAGGTTTGTGTGTGGACTTCGAAACGGGGCACTGTGCAGGGATGCACACTCGCAGAGACAGGCCGCCTTAATTCAATCAAATGTCGCTTATTCATTCAATTAAAGGTCGCGCCATTTGACGTCCCACTATTAAGGCGTCTGTGAATACGATTATGAATGCCAGAGCGAGTGCACAGAGAGAAAATATAAAGGAATCTGATCTACGTTTTCAAATTGACAGGGTTATGTCAAAATGTTTCCTATAAAAGAGGGATTGTGGGTATATTATAATTTATTAGTTTTTATTGTGTTTAATAGATTCGTAATAAGGCTAATAATGACCCTTTTTCCCGCCACTGCACAATCGATTTATACAAATATTTAATTTGAAATAAAATATTTTTTCAGATTAATGTAAAATATTAATATTAATGTCGCTTTGTTTTTTCTGCGTGCAAGTGGAGGGCGAGCGAAGGGCCCTCGGGAGCCCGCTTTGAATGTTTTCCATTTTTTAATGTAATTGACAGTTAAACTTTGTGCACATGCTGGACGCAGAAGCCCCTCTCTGCACCCCGGCGGGGATGTCGCGCAGATCACAGAGCAGCAGTCCAGCAGAGGTCCACAATGGGGGCCATTCTTGGGCGGGAGATTAGCGACTGCTCAAGTGTGGCGCTCCAGTCAAGCACAACAGCCAGTCTGCGGCCCCGATAGTGCGAATATCGCGGAGAGTGCCCTAGAACAATAGGGCTCCACTCAGTGAGTAACCTGTGAGTCACTCCCCTTGGAGCCTGCTAGGTGACCCCCTCTTATCGATGGCTTAAGGCTCCGTTATGGTCCATTACTGCGCAGAAAGCCTCTTATAATCTTCCGTAATGGAGACACTGAGTAATCACAAAAGCGCTGAATTGCAATGATTTGACACTAAGAAGAAGCTCGGCAGGCGTTCCTAGCTATCTCGTACACTCTAATTTATCTTATCAAAGTGATCTTGAGCTTGTTTGAGCTACTGCACTGTCAGAAATTATCAGTCAGTCGTTCGTTTCTCACTACAAAAAAATAAAACCAATCTTAGTATTTTCCGGAAATATTTCTACTATTTCACGCACACACAAGCTTATATTTACGAAACAAATTAAATTATAAAGAGCGGAAGGCAGAGGAAAATATTGGAAAATGAAAACAAATGAGGACAATTGCAAAGAACTTTTTCCACAAGATCCAAATAAAGACAAATTCTGCTATGAAAAGGTTGAGCACCACCAATTGACGTTGCCAAAACAAAATAGCTTAGATTTCCCCTATTATTAGTATCTGCTTACGCTTACGCATATAGCTAAATCAACTCGACTGGTGATGCTTACCAGGAATTCGTATACGCCTTTCTTCGCCTGATACAGGCATTCCCTGTTGCCATTAAGCTATAATAAATAGTTTTGTACCCAACGGGTTTCGGTATTCATCATATCAAATATTAATAGTGCATATTTAATGGAATTCTACTTTTTCTTTCAGTGTCCAGCGGCTCTTGTCTAATCTAGGCATATGCAGAAAACAAAACCGCAACCGTACTGAGATCCCCGCAGACGGCCAACTGCTATAAAAATAGGCAATAAAGCAATTCCTCTGACGCAGAGAAGCTTAAGATTGGGGAAGAGCGCAGAGCTCTGGGTGGAGAACGGAGAATACCATGCTCGGAGAGTCTCGCCCACCAAATGAGCGTTAAATTAAAAGAACGTTATCCAAACGAAGCAGACTCAGTCAGTCATTGACAACGAACCCGAAACAACGAACGACCGCGGCGGGTGAAAACCACGCGAAGCGAAGAGTTAATTGCCGGCGAGCATAGAGCCCATTTGGAATATTAACTAATTAAAGCCAACGCGACCCATCCCCGAAATGCGCGACGCCGCCGAAGATCAATCCGTGTCCGTCCCGATGCCTGCCTCCGCTTCCGCCTCCGCTGCAAGCTCTCCGCCGGTAGCAGCATCAGACCGCCGGCTGACCCAGCGATTGCTTCTGGAACTGCTGGTGATCGTGGTCCTCCTCATACCCATCTGCGTTTACGAGTTCGCGGTGGATCCCGTTCGGCGGGGCTTCTTCTGCGACGACGAGAGCATCAGCTACCCGTTCCGGGACAACACGATAACCCCGGTGATGTTGGGTCTGATCGTGGGGCTGTTGCCGCTGCTCCTCTTCGTCCTAGTGGAGTATGTGCGCCACCTGCAGGCTGGAGAGATTTCTACAACTGTTGACCTGCTGGGATGGCGCGTTTCCACCTGGTATGTGGAGCTGGCCCGGCAGTCCACCTACTTCTGCTTCGGCATGCTCCTCACCTTTGACGCCACCGAGGTGGGCAAGTACACCATCGGCCGCCTGCGTCCGCACTTCCTGGCCGTATGCCAGCCGCAGCTGACGGACGGCAGCCTCTGCTCGGACCCGGTCAACCTGCACCGCTACGTGGAGAACTACGAGTGCGCCGGCGAGGGCTACTCCATCGAGGATGTGCGCCAGGCGCGGCTCAGCTTCCCCAGCGGCCACTCCAGTCTGGTCTTCTACGCCATGGTGTACGTGGCGGTCTACCTACAGCGAAAGCTCACCTGGCGCGGCTCTAAGCTCAGCCGCCACTTTGTGCAGTTCGTGCTGGTCATGCTGGCCTGGTACACGGCACTCAGCCGCGTGATGGACAACTGGCACCACTGGTCGGACGTACTCGCCGGATCGCTACTCGGCGTGGCCGGGGCATTGATCACCGTCCGCTACATAGCGAGGCTGTTCGACCTGCCTTTCGACGGGGGTGTGGGCACCATACTGGGCGGTGGGCTGCGGCGGGAGAACACCGCGGCCACCCTGCAGGAGGAGGTGTGCCCTAGCACGCCGCCACCCTACTCGGCGACCAGCAGCTACAACGACGATCAGTATTGTACGAAGGTCTGAAAGAGGCCAGGAGCATGTCCGCTCGAAGCATTCCAAAGATAGCAATAAAGAATAGACCGAAGATCGGCCCGAGTTGAATATGTAGTATCTACACCGCGTTGCATAGTATTAGTTATAGAGCCCACCCGCAGCATTTGTATAATTCCCATTAGTGTGTCGTTACAATCCCATTCTACGTGTAAGTCCCCGTATTATTATTTGTATATTCTAACTTCTAAAAACAGCTAAAATTATAATAAATAAGTCCACCGCATTTGTTCACAGTGTTCACAGTCTTAACCTGCCCCATTGTCTGCATACTCGCTTATCAGTTTTCGTTCTGTTTTTTACTCGTAATAATTTCACATTTCAATGTCAGCCCACCCACATTCCCCTACCTAGGGTGCAGCTCACTTGACACAGTTTTTCGCGCAGTGTTGTCATACCTGGCTGGCTTCGGCTGGAATGTGTGCTGGCCATGCATGACTCATCAACATTTCGCACCGGCGGCAAGTGCCTCTTATGCTGCGTCACCCGAGAGGCCGGCCTCCCGAGAAACTCTTATTCGCCGATCGTGTGAAGGCGCCGCAGCTCCCCGAGTGGATTCAATTGGTGCGCTTCTGGTGAATCAAACGGGGCTAATCTGATTTTGATGGACCCCTGACCCATCAATTAATGAGTCTCCAGAGAGAGCCCCGAGAGTGATCTGGCGAGCTTTGTCGAGCTTTTCGGCTTCCGGGGCTTTCTCGGTGACTCCGGTCTACGTCAGCCGGGGATCTTGGACTCGGGAGCGGTCAACAGCTATCGCGTGTTTTGACGCTGACCGTTTCAGGGCCAGACGCGGACAAGGTAGCGCTATCGCCGCCAGCACGTGCGTGGCAACAAGTAGACAACCGCGCAGTTGTTTACTATATGTCTGTAGCGAATGCACAGATCAGGGGAAGCACTACATATAAGACACGCCCTCTAAGAGAATACTATACACGTATTCAATAAGCTCCCTGATAAATTTGACTTACTTCAAAATGAAAGGACTTCCCCAGAGTATTACTTCTATTAATATCGCAGCCTTAATTTGAGTTATATTTCTTGTTTATAAATGGTAAGTATATATTTCGGTTCCTATTTTTAGCTGATTTCACATTCACATACTCTCCGATCATTCAGTAGGTATCGCACATAGATCCGCTGACGGCGGGCAGAACAAATATTTTTGACGCAAACGGAAAATATTTCTGAGTATTATAATGTAATCAGAGGCAACAATGCGAATTGTTTATTAATAATCCCAGTCGAGTGGCTCTGAGCTCAGATTGCTGGGGGCTGTTGTCCGCTTTCGGCCCGAGTCGTAGATCAGTGACGTGTGAACAGTCGGACCGATCGCACAGATTCCGGACACAAGCCAGCCCTCAACCGAAAATGAGCTTCAGCCTGCGAATCCGGCCCCCCATCCGCCTGCTGGTGGACCTAACCCTACTGGGCATCCTGATTGTCCTCGTTGAGAACTTTGGCTTCTTTTGGGGGCCAACCACCAAGCGCGGATTCTTCTGCACCGACGAGTCCCTGAGGTACCCGTACCACGAGAACACCGTGAGCCCCACCCAGCTGCACTGGCTGGGCCTCCACCTCCCACTACTCAGTGTGGTCCTGCTCGAGAGCCTGCTCTGCTGGCAAGGCGGCGTCAGCCACTGGGGGCACCTCTGGCCGGTGTACAACACGGCCCGCTGGTACCTCTACGGCTATGTGGCCAACGACCTGATCAAGGGCATCGGGAAGCACACCATCGGCCGCCTGCGCCCCCACTTCTTTGCTGTCTGCAATCCGCACTTCCCGGATGGAGGCAGCTGCACAGATGGGGTGCACGAAGATGACCTAAGCTACCACGAGGACTACTCCTGCCGTCCTGAGCTCACGGGAGCCAGCGAGGAGGTACTGCGGGACGTACACGTATCCTTCCCCAGCGGCCACTCGGCCATGGCCTTCTACGGCCTGGTATTTGTGGCCCTGCATCTTCACCGCCGCCGCTTGCCCCTGCCCGGCTCTCTGCTTGGCCCCGTGCTCCAGCTGGCCTGTGTGGCCCTCGCCTCATTCGTGGCCCTCAGCCGCGTCATGGACTACAAACACCACTGGTCGGATGTTGCGGCCGGCTCGCTGTTGGGCGCCGGCGCCGCCTTTGCGGTTGTCCGGGCAGCCGCTTCTGAGGAGCGGCAAAGGTCTCTGAGTGCAAGGGAGGATGACAATGCCAGAGAGGCGGAGGCGCCCACGGCGAAGGACAGCCAACAGCTAGGTCGTGATTTGAGCATTGTTACTAGCCAGAGCCATAATTAGTCGAGCTGGCGGTTAAGTTGTAGTTGATAATAAATTTAGTGACGAGATAATCTCGAAACGTGGCTTTATAGCTGACAGGGGAAGGGTGGCTGGGTCGCTTATTAACAGAGACGCATCTCGTGCCGAGTCGGCGGAAACTGGTATTATCAGGGTTAATCAAGCAACTGCATGGTAATAACACAGCTATTACCAAAGCACTATGAGGCTCGTTTCGATTTTACTAAGAGAATGACAGACAAAAGTTATTGGCCCCGCAATAAAGTAAGTAATCGTACATTTTCCAGTGGGGATTTCTTCTAGATTTGTGTACAAAAATAGATTCCGCAAGAACGTCTGTGACTGCCGTAGCCTGATCGGGCAGAAACCGCCGCCGGTATCCGTGGAAGCACAAGTCCAAGAGGCTCGATTGTCGCCAACAATTAGCGGCTCCTTTGGATTCATTAGCAGCATATTTTCGAGCGATTTAACCCCAGTCAACAAGCTGGCAAGGACCTACTTCCATCGCCCCAATCACGGTCGAGCCGAAAAGAGATATAAATAAATTTTGCGCGCCGCCGAGCAGAATCCAGTGAATCTCCATCGCTGGTGATGATGCGCAACACCTGGACCCGGCCAATTCAGCTCGGGGATTTGCGAATGGGCCCCACTCCGCGCACCCTCATCAGGTGGGCCAAGGGCGCCTTTGGCCGCCGCTTAATTGGCTCATTTATTTTGATGGCAAAGAAAATGCTGGGAAATTGTGGTTATTTTTTCCTCGCCGCTTTGCCTAATTCCCGCGCCCTATTCCCCCTCCTCGGCCCGCATTTATTATGATTAATTATGGCCCGCACACACTGAGAAACTGACCCAAAGCTCCACTTTCTTGCCAACTTCGCAACTGTGTCAAGTTTTTGTTGCCGCTTTCCTGCTCCTGCCTTCTGGTTGTTGTCTGGCTCGAGGTTCGAATGATAAATTTCCATGCAATTTATTTTAATCTGCAGCGACGCTCCCTGCCACACTAGCCCCGTCCTGCGGCAGCTAGTTTTCATGCGTTAATTAAATGGAAAATATTTGCATGGCCGGCACCGCCAAGGGACGCAGAGATTGGATTCGCAAAGTTGAGCTGCAACCCAACACAATGACCTACATCCGGCATTAGGGAAAGTTTTGTTTTGTTTTGAGTTTGGCCTCCGAGGGAGGAGAGGATGCAGTGGCTCAGCTCCAACTTGGAAACGAAGTTCCTTGGGAGTTCATTAGGCAGCGGTAACTGGGGAACTTTTGCCTGTGACAGTCAGGCTAATTGCAGACAGTCAGGCCATCTGGAATTGGTTACCAACGGGGTAACCCGGACCTGTGCTGGTTAAATCCCACTCTCACCTCTGGCCGGCATCAATCAAAGCCGTCGCCCGGCTCGCACTTTCAATCAATTGCAGCAGCACGTGAAATTTAAGAGCTCCGTCGTCGTCGAGTGGAGTCTCTAATCGCCATCAGGTGCGATAATGCGGCCAGTCGGGGGCCCGGTCCGGTCCAGTCCGGCAGTTTGTCACTGCGCAATATCACCCACCCACCGCCGGGTGGCCATCGCTCCGAACAGGACTTCATCGTTCCCAGAACAGGAACATCGTTCTCGCACCGTCTGCTGCATTTTTGCATGGTTGTTTGCTCAACAAAATACCCCAAAGCATTTCGGGGCTTTCCACTTTTCCTGGCCCGTGCTCCCTGCCACATGCGCTTCATATTTCTGCGGTTGCCGTGTCCCGGACATCTCTCCTGTCTCTCCTGGACAGCAGTTTGCCATCAGCAGTCATCAGTGTCCCCCGGCTCAAGCTCTCCTCGGCACCGTTCATCTCTGCTTCAATCGTTGGCTTCATGTGTGTAAAGACAATTTGATAATCGCAAAATGCAGCATAGTTTGAGTTAATGAAGCTTGTGTGCCATGTGTGCCACCTTCGGATGGCATCCCTCGGCAGTCGGAGCCAGAGCGAAAGCCAGACGACTGGCTTCTCCTCTGACGTTGTGCCCGTGGTTGTCGTTGTTTGTTGGACAACAACCGGAGCGTTTTGCTTGCCAATTAGTAATTTGCCGTCCAGGGAACGGTTGGCAGACCAGACCAGACTAGACCAGAACACCTCGGTCTGTCCCTGACAACCAGAGGGAGTTTTAAAATGCTCGTGGTGGGTCCCAAAGACCAGAGCTCATTTAAGGACTGTCCGATTGGCACTGCTTTAATCCAAAAGTTGTGGCAAATTACGTGCTGGCTGTCACTGAAGAGAGGAACGTCACCTGGAAAGCCTGAACTCTTTTGCAATTCAGATTGATTTGAAAGACGACACATTGCCGGGCTCAAAGATGTTCGGCAGTCTGTTGTGAGAGTATTGCATCGTTCATTGTCCATCGAATGTAATGTGTCAGGACAACAATTTGAATGAAAGCAGCGGGACAGGATGCCCAAGGACTCGCTGCTGTCCGGCGTGAAAACAAACCGTTTTCGCTGCGTGCTCCCTTTGTGCAGAATGCGCTTTCGCTTCAATGTCCTGTCGTAGAAATCGCACGCAGCCTCGACACGTGACGTCGGGGAGCGAGAAGATGCGCGAAATAAAGGGTCGGCGGCCATTTTGTCGGCGCCATCATTATTAATAGGGCTACACAGAAAAAATGGTAGAACGAAAAAATCAAGAATATTTTTCTTGATTTTTTCGATGTGGTGGATTAAAATTTTTAAGTACTATTCGGGGTTAGACAGTCGAGTTAATCCCGTTTCGGGATTAAATGACA